GTGTGTGTGAATATGTGTGTGTGTGTGTGAATATGTGTGTGTGTGTGAATGTGTGTGTGTGTGTGTGTGAATATGTGTGTGTGTGTGAATGTGTGTGTGTGTGTGCTATGTGGATGTGCTTGTGTATGGGGTAGGAGGTAGACCTGCATACATGCAGCATTAGGTAACTTGGGCCATCACTCTCCACCTAAGTTTTTGAGACAGCGTCTTTCCCTAACCCAGGAGCTTGTTGATTCTGCTAGTGAGCAGACAATGACCTCTGGGGGTACGCCTACCTAGTCTTCCTGTGTTGGCATGACAGATATAAGCCACAACATCTGGTTTTGGCAAGAGTGTTGGGAATCCAAGCGCAGGTCCTTATGCTCAGATGCAGGAACATTACTGTGAAGCTATCTTCCAGCTCCACTTCCCCACTCAAGGTTATTTTGACAAACATCCACTCACATAAAGCTATGTTGGTAAGCTTCCTATTTAAGGCTGCACCTTGATTTCTCAGTGCCCAGATACCCCTGATTAAAACAGTCAATGCTAATCCTGATGAGAACTTTCTTATTACCACTCCGAATCTCAGCAGATCTTTGAATAGCAACTAGAAAAAAACAAAAACAAACAAACAAAAAAAACTGTGAGTAACTTCCACTTAACAATATATCTAGTCCTCAACAGGAAGTTATTTCTGGAACTCTCCACAGTATCATAAGTATCCTTTCTAACCAATCTCAGAACTCCTCCTACCACATGAAACCTGTTTTTTGCTGAAACTTTTTTCCCCTTCACTTTCTTGCCTTAAAAAAACTTACTTTGTTCATACTTAAATAAAATGTAGCACCCACCTACTGAGCCATTGTGTGGTAGTCGTCCATTCTCAGATTTCTGTGTGGGAAAGGGCGACGTCTTTAAGGAGCTGAGTAAAGGTTTTCTGCACAGCGTAGAGGTAAAATCAGGCTGGAACCCTAATGCAGCCCTCTGTCCAGAGCTTTCCAAATGCTTTGCCGAATAATTCCATCAACTCTGACCACTTACTCTTTTTCACAGAGGTGAGAAATTGTCACCAAGAACTTTGTGACAGGAAAATGCCAATTCACTCCCTCAGAGCCTCAATCCTTCTCTGCTCCGTATTACAAAACAAAGCTTTTGTAGATATAAATAGAGACACTAGTATATGCGTGAATAAACAGACCGGTCCAGTGCAAATTAGCAAAAGCCAATGAAAAACATTTTGTAGCAAATAGGTGGGCAAGTGCTCTTTCTGAGTTTGATTAAAATTAATTAATTTAGAAACAGTGTTCGTTAATACACAGGCAGTCTCTATTAGGCAAATTACTAGCCTCATAACAACTTTGAATATGACAGTATTTTTTCATTGTTAACATAAAATATAATTTAGAAACAAAACCTCAAGCATTTAAGGAACCCTTAGATCACCTTCCGGAAGGCAATTCTGCCCAGCATATATTTGCAAACTTGTCATAATGCTACAATGCAGAGGATGAAAATGGGTTGTTCACTTTCTAAATAGCAGCGCTGGGATTTTCTGCTATTTTTTTTAATTAAGGAAAGAAATATAGTTTTTCCTGATTATTTACTAAGTTAAAAAATTTAACCCCAGTGGAAGGAAAACAGAAAGCTGTGAGTATGTTAGTGCATCTGTCAGGACATTTGGCTTGACCATTGGCCTTTAACACACCTTCTGGGGATATCTTAGAAAATGGAAACATGCTACCATCTCTAATTTTCTGTACCTTGGCCAGTTGTGGAATGTACAACTCTAAACGGAACACATAAAACACATCCCTGCCTCTCACTGCTCCAGGATCATCCTGGAAGATTGGATGAAAACCATGCAACAGCCAGAGGTGGTGCTTAACAACAAGCAACAGTGTCTTTCCGTCACAGCAGGGCAGTCGCACTTCAGAACTCAGAGCAGTTGTGATAGCGTGCACAAAAACTG